TGCATTTATGACTGTTATTTATATTAGTGTTGTGAATAGGTACAAACTTAATTATTAGAATGCATATAACTATATCCAAGCACATGGTCGAGCTAGCATAACACAGTTAGAGCATACCATGAAAACAATGTATATGGATCGACCCTCGACAAGCATTAATGCTTCATGGGTCATACCAGACTTAAACTTCAAGGGCTCTCATTTGGTGAACTCATGTTTATGGAGAAATGCGTCATTTGATAAAAATAAAATATTATAAAAATAACATATAAAATTTGAATTAGTGATTAGTTTTTCACATCAATAAGTGATGGCTCAGATTCTAAAAGGTCTATAAAATATATTAATTGTTTATTTTGAGAGAAACCTGTTTTCAATGTATACAATTAAACACTCATTTATAAAATAATTCTTGATTAAATTTATAGCTGAAAAGTCTTTTTACAGCTTACAGTAATAACAAACAACGTCAACAATAATTTTAGAAGCATGTAAAGTGAAGAAGAAATTGTGATTTAGTATTTATGTGCAAATGTGTGTGTGTTTTTGGGGGTGGGGGAGACTTTTTTGGTTTAAAAAATATGAGGAAGGGTTAAGCTCATATATCATTTGTTAGAATATTGCATATTGAATTTGAGTATTGAACATTTGGAAGCGATATATAATTCTTAAATTAGTATTAATTTTCAGCCCAATTGACCAATAACCTTATACCTTTTGCTAATATCATATAGATCCAATAATCATAAGATGAGATTTAGTTTGATATGCGATTCAAAACCATTTTTTTATGTGTAATGAATTTGTATGACAAATACATGCAAGTATGTAAGTAAGTGAAGATGAACCTGATTATGCATTTTAATTCTTTAGATAAATAAAATGGTTTAAGTGATGAACTAACTATACACTCACTCGATTGGTTTAACGAGTTCTATTTTTGTATCTTTTAGTAATTAGTTTATTCACAAGCTAACAAACTATTTTGCTCCGTCAAGGAATAAGCACCATCTGTTCGCCAGGTTTCAAGTGCTTTGATTCACAGTATCAACCGTGAATGGAGAAGAAGCATTTTGAACTCAAAATTGGAGAAGTAATTGGGATGTTTCTAGGTTTCTATCGATTCTAGGCGATGGGAAGAAAGATGAAGGAAAAGAGGGAGAGTGGTGAGATACAAAGCTCAGAGAGATAGATGAAAGAACAAACGGAAAAAACAAAGATGAAGGCTAAGAGAGAGTGAGAGATCACACTTAAAAGAACGGGGAAATGAGACAGTGTGAAATAATTGCCCTTCTACTTTGCTTAGTGGGTATTCTTGGCCCTCTTCTGTTGAGTTTTGATTTATGTTAGGAGAAGACATTATATTTGATAGATTTTTTCCATTTCATTTTCAATTTAAAATTCTAAATCAGTATTACCAGCGGTATTTGTTAATGTCAATGTTTTCCATTTCATTTTCATTTTCCCCCTTAATAAGATCATGATAATTTCTTAGGTTTAAGGGGTATTTGTTAATGTCAATGTTTTGGCTATTTTGTATTTAAAGTTTGAATTGAAACATCATACGTACCGGCGGTTCGACAATAAAACTTCACACCATAGGCTAAATTGATAGGTGATATTTAGCAATATGAAACAGTTGAATCATTGTTAAATTATGATTTCAGTATAAAATACTCTACTATCAAATTTTTGGAGTCGATTTTACAATCCTTTGGTTCCAACAATTCTTTTACACTGGTTGAAACAAAAGTTTTAAGGCACATTTTCGACTATTTATTGCAAAAAAAAGTCAATTAGCGATAATGAGATTATGCGATTTATTTAACCCAAAAGACACTTTACAACTTATATATTTTTAAAATAAATGTATGCTTCTCATACACTCACTCATTCATTAACTTAATGAGTAACATATATTTCAAGTAATATGAATTTTATAGGTTTTTATTTATTGAATTATTTCATGAAAAAAATATTTGATGCATAAAAATTACTATACTGTTACTAGACATGTCTCCGATATGAGAATAATTTGGTAAGTTCGTACACAACAGATTGTCCAACTAAAAATTAGCGACAAGTTAGCATCATGTCCTATATATTTCAAATCAAGCAACTTCAGATTCATTGCCAACACTGTGGTAAAAAAGAATGCTCTATATTGGGAAAAATTTAAAAGACATACTAAACTCTATGAGAGACATTTTGTTTCATCCTAAAGGTTGATTATGTATGTATTGTAAGAAGCAACTATAATATTAAACTATATGGTTTAATTAAACAATAAATGATAATTAGTTATATTTATTTCTTTTTTCATTCAATAATTATATGTAATGCTTATATTATATATTTTTCTCTCTTTTAATGGAGACCTGAACACATCATGCATAGATGGATCACTTTCAAAAATGTTATGTGCATAACTAAGGTAGAAAACAATCATTTCATGCATTTCAAATCATCTACTATATACATTATTATATATCATATTCTTCAATAAAATTCTTCCGGCCAACGGCCCGGGCCCTGTGCTATTAAAGTAAATGACACAGTTTTTTCAGAAGTTTCCATAGCTGGTCATCGAGCATCAAATCAAAAGAGACGACTATTCCGGACATATGGCTTATCTGACAGGAGCAGAGCTCGATGGTCAGATTCCTGGTCCGTAAAATGTTTGACTAAGGTAGCCGAGAATTGGTCAATCCAAGTCTGGGAGCATAAAGCTCTATCCAACCTTTCCCGAATACAAGCAGACACATTCGTTTATTCGTCCAAGTGAATTGATCACCTTGGTATCCCGGGTCATGAAGCCCCAAATCATGGACAAAATTGCAAAGGTTGAGTGACTGAGCAGCACTCCACGGATTTCCACCATCTTTTTCACTCTTATGAAGAGTGGCATTGATATCACCATAAGTAAGAGATTGTTTGGAAGTTGTGATTCTTCAAATTGATGTATGAGTCAATTAGTGTATTATCATTTGATGTATTGTATCAATTGATGTATTAGGAAAATATCTTGTTTGGAGGTTTAGATTGTGTTTTTGTTGTAAAACCACAAAAGTTAATTTTGAGTGATTGTGAAGAATCTCTACTTTTTGTTGAGATTGATAATCCCTCAATTTTAAGTGATTGTGGTGGGGCCTCCAAAAAATTAATGCCTGTATTTTAGTTCAATATAAACAAAAAAAAAAAGACCGAATCTCACAAATACATGAATTAACTCAATACATCCTTCGAAATCACAATCCAAACGACCCAAGGTTATGAAAAGATGAAACATAAGTAGTTAAATTTTCGCAAGTGACAACTTTTTTTAGTTAATTGTTCTACGCCAAATCAAAGCACACATTTCTTTGTTAACCTTGCTTTTGATTCCATCACTGTAGAGATAAAAATTCCTGAAGACATATCGACAGATTTCCAATCGAGGTTGGTAAAATAAGTAAATAACGTTGAATTGATCGCCATTCGGCCTCACCGAACTCTCAGAGTCGACCACTAGACAGAGATGTGAGAAAAGCTCAACTAAACTCTGGGTGGAAGGATTGAAGCTCCTGTTCATAAAACAGGTTGAAAATCCACCACAGAAGAGATGATATTAGTTCGCATTCGTAACATAACATCTGCAGCAGAAATGAAGATGAAGACGAGCCCGTACCAGATCTTTCCCATTTCATGAGATACGATACGGGTGATGAATGATGTGGCCATGGCCGCCCAAAGCCAATCTCTAAACCCACATTGCGTAATTTCAGTTGCGTGCGCTACTCATTAATTATTACCCCGTTGCTGTTTTTATTCATTCATTGAACTTAACAACGGAGAGAAGCAACCGAGTCCTAGTGTGTCGGAATAAATCTGAATCAGTGTATTCTTTTCCCCAGGTCTTTCAGGCATTTCGTCGAACGCCCTGGTAGCATTCCTTCAACTTTGAACAGCGGCCCCCAAGGCCCCAACGAAGGAAGGATAATGATGATGACCTGCCGCACCCAGCCCGACGTGAAATAACCAGAAGAGAGGAGGAGGGGGAGAAAGGAAGATGGCGGTGGTGATTGTGAGAGGCGCCGTGTGTTTGGTTCTGAGTTTGGGAGCCATTCTCTTGTGGTTTTATGTGGATGAACTCTACCCCTGGATCCCTTCGTCAAAGCTTCCTCTCAAGGTGACTAAACTGCCCATCGCTTTTCTTCTACATTTTGATCATCCAAGCCCCTTTCGTTTCTCTCTGCACATTGGATTGCAATCAGATTAGGGTTTGCGAATTGGGGAAATTGGTTGAAGAATTCTCGATTTCCCAAATCTGTTGCTTCATTTGTGAATTGTGATCTCGAGAAGTTATTGGAAGTTGGAACACGATCACGTTCATTGACCGTTTACCGGCGTGACTCTATGGGTCAGAGCCCGTTAAGTCTGGAAGAGAGTAGAGCGTGGCCCATGGACTCCGTGAAGGCCCATAAGCAGGAAGGCCTATTTCCAAATAGGCCTATTCGGCAGAAAACAAAAGGAGGAGTTGGTTGGAAGGCTTCCGTCGCCCGCCCGCCAAATTTACCGAACACGCCGGCGGCAGGTGCTTCTCGTGGCGACAAATAACGAGACGGACGTTGTCTGCGCAAAGTCAAGAAAGAAATAACATTTAACAAAGAGTTGGGAAGTTTGGAAAATATGTTTCTTTTTTGGTTCTTGTAGTTGTGGGTTTGGTGGCATGTTGCTATTTGCTGTAGTTGGAAGAGTCTTGGTTTCCAAGGTTGGTTTGAGAAAGGAGTTGCTGCTGAGTTTTCCTTTGAAAACTATATGCCTTGCGTTTCACTCTTCTGCTTATGTAACACAACACCTACTCTCTCAGCTTTTCCCCGTGTGTTCATTGGCTTACCACTTTTCTTTAATGTCAGCTTCCCATAACTTAAAATCAATTTCAATCTGTGGAGTCTGAGATTTTTGGCACACACATTTGATTAAATGGGTTGGTCGGATTCTGGAGCTCCACTTCTTGATTTGGGTGGTTCCTTTTATAATGGATAGTTTTCCCAAATCGATATAATGGGGAAGCAAGGGTCTCCCCGAAGTCCGCGTCCTGATACATCGATGAAGGATTATCAGACAAGAAGTTGTTCTGAAGGTGGGTTTGCAGGAAATGATCCTTCCTTAGGTAGGAGGCTGTCAGGTGGCGAAAGTGCCTGGAAAGCCAAAGCCATGTCACTCCACAGTTTAAGGCAAAATGATATTCATGCCGCCAAGATTGGTTCTTGTAAGGGAGCTTATGTTGGGAAAAGGCACACCTGGTTTAGCAAGCATGTGAGATCAGTCGCCACGATGTTGGCATTCGTGGGTTTTCTTTTCATGCTAGATTCATTGATGGTTTCTGTTTTTGATTCCATGTCGCTTGGAAAAAACATCTCAACATTGACCAAATCAAATGATGTATGTACTGCAATGTTTTCTTGGCTCTTAAATCCCTTTGAATTTACTGCTTCCCTATTTTCTCTGTCATGATCCCTATTTTCTCTGTCATAATCTTGTGTTGTTTTCGCATGAATCATAGGAGAATCATAAAGAGGAAGGGAAGCCACCGGTGCAGATGTATGGCCGCCTCTTAAACTTAGCTTCTGGTGCACTTGCTGAGGTACAATGCAATTAGTTCATATGCATAACATTAGCTCTTGGATAATACACATTTACATATGTTTACAAATTCTGCTCTGCTTTAGAAAGAGTCGGAGCAACAAGAGACAAGGTTTTGGAAGCAACCTTATGCTGCTAAGGCAAGTGTATGGAAACCTTGTGCAGATAAAAAAGTTCCTGAATACCCAGCAGGTAACTGAATGTTCTTTCTCTTATCTTAATGTATTTGGACTATGTTGGTTAATTACTGCCAACCTAATGCCTGGATTTTCAAAATGGTTTAATCGAGACAGGAAGATTAGGGAAAAGTAATGGCTACATAGTGGTGAGTGCAAATGGTGGTCTCAATCAACAAAGAGTTGCTGTAAGTAATCATCAATCTTCTGGAACAAGGTGTAATTTTCTATGCATAGTCCAAATTGTTTTTATTTTAGTTTCAATTTCCATCCTTTCATGGCTGCTGCAGATTTGCAATGCTGTTGCGGTGGCAGCTTTACTCAATGCAACTCTAGTTCTTCCCACGTTTCTTTACAGCAATGTTTGGAAGGATCCAAGCCAATTTGGTGATATCTACCAAGAGAGGCATTTCTTAGACATGATGAAGGAGGAAGTAGATATAGTGAAAGAACTTCCATCCCGTTTCCAATCTCTAGACACTGAAGCAATTGGCAGCCTGGTATATATATAGTGTAATACTTCAAGTTCTGTACCTTTTGTTGTTATGAGCTCGGTGTATCAGAACAATCCTGACCCTTCATCACTTCCCCCCCCCCCCCTTAAATTCAGATTACTGATTCTGACTTGCCAAAGGAGGCAACGCCACATGATTATCTCGAGAAGGTGCTACCAATTCTGATACGAAATGGATTTGTTCACTTGCTCGGGTTTGGGAATCGGCTTGGCTTTGATCCAATGCCTGCTCAAGTTCAGGTAAATGGAAATTCCTCTATTCTCTCAGCTTAATTGCAACCTCCTCCGGTCTAAGAGGACACGATTTACTTTCTACAGAAATTGAGGTGCAAATGTAACTTCCACGCTTTGAAGTTTGTTCCAAAAATCCAAAAAGTTGGTGCATTGTTGAGACAAAGGATAAGAAAGTATGAAGCTGAACCGACTACGTTAGATAAGCAACTCCTGGGTGACTACATCTCTAGCAATATTCCCTCCAAAAAGCCATCTAATGCAACAAAACCACCAGTGAAATACCTTGCTCTGCACTTGAGATTTGAGATTGATATGATCGCTTACTCCTTATGTGACTTCGGAGGTGGGACTATTGAGAAACAGGAGCTTCAGGCTTATAGAGAAAGCCACTTCCCGCTGCTCATTAAACGTTTAAGAAAGTCCCAGTAAGTTTCTAACTTAGCTTTCCAAACTCTCCCATATTTATTGTGGAAGAATGGTGGTGCCGCCTCATCCATATTACCCTTCTTCTCCTCCCAACAGGCCAGTATCCACAGAAGAGCTAAGAAAGACAGGCAAATGCCCATTGACACCAGAGGAAGCAGCACTAGTCCTTGCTGGACTTGGATTCAAGACAGGAACTCATATCTACCTTGCGGGGTCTCAAGTCTATGGAGGGAACTCAAGAATGCATTCATTCATCGGCCTTTACCCTAACTTGATCACCAAGGAAACTCTCCTCACACCAACTGAACTTGCTCCCTTCAGGAATTTCTCGTCACAAATGGATGCACTTGACTTGATCGCATGTGCCACTGCAGATGTGTTTGCAATGACTGATTCGGGAAGCCAGTTGGCATCATTGGTTTTAGGGTTCAGGAGTTACTATGGAGGTGGGAATGCTCCCACGTTGAGGCCAAACAAGAAGAGGCTTGCTGCAATTTTGTATGAGAATAGCACGATAGAATGGAATGGTTTTGAAGAGAGAGTACGGCGAATGATTGAGGAAGGTCAAAGGGTGAGGACCAGGCGTTCTAGGAGAAGCGTGTATCGGCAGCCCAGATCTCCAGAATGCATGTGTAGATTGTAGTAAATGAAGAATGCTGTACATAAGCTTTTTTCTCATCATTTCCTCAATTCTTTATTTTGTTAATCAGACTTGCTACATAAATGATATTTTCTGAGAAGGGGTTGGTTTGGATTTTGGAAGCAGTAATAAATATTTTCATAGATAATCTTGGTGTCTGTTATCCCAAGTCATAGACAAATCAAAATGAATTAAATAAGGAGAGGAAGAAGAAGGAGAAGGAAAAGCAAGAACAGCTTATTCCTGTCTCCTGGAAAACAAAATCCTAGACGGGATGTTAGAGTTCTAACTACTACTCTTCCTTTCCTCTCTCTGCAGCAATCAAACCTTATCTGGAAATGATGTTTTTCCTCTAACAAACCAGCAAGCAAAACCTGAACAAAACTCTGCTGCTCCTGATTTTTCTTGATTCAACTTTTCAGGATGGAGGGAAGAAACGATTGAGGTTGAAAGGAAGGGTGTAGAATTCTTCATTCCTGCTGTCTCCTTGGAATGATCTGAATTTAGCCCACCATGGCATTCCTCGATCTCTGGCACTATCCTTGTAGTCAAGTGTATTGTCCAGGAACACTCCTACTATCAACGCCACGGTTGGGGATGAGAAGAAGATTGTGTTCAGGAAATCATTGAACTGCACTCAACCAGTCAAAGATCACAAACAATAGTGGGGAAGAGGAGTTTGTTAGCAAATTGGACATGAGAAGGAATCAAGAATCACCATGCAAAATGCGAAAAAGACATTCTTACCCAGCCGGCTTTCGTGTGAGATGGACCATGGTAAGCCTTGGAAGTGTATTCCCTGAAGTACTCAGGGATAGACAGACCAAGAAACAAGGCAACTCCGACGATGAACAGGTTCCTCATTGAGTTCATATTTGTGAATTGCAAGAAAGACAAACCAACGGAAGCTGACAGACAAGAACCAGGAAATAGTTTAATATCAAAATTAGAGTTCAGATGTCAAAGGAAATGGAGGAGGAGAAAGCATTGCCACTCACCAACAAGACCAAAGAGGACACAGTACAAAGCAGCAAATATTGGGAATGGTATTGATGCAAATAATGCTCCAAATTTCCCTGTGAGAAGAATTTCTACCAAATGAGATTGATTGATAATGGAGGAATTAACAAAGGAGCAGACCAACCAAAGTGAGTGTAGTCATTTACCCAAGATTGAGAAGAAGATCATGAAACCAGCTGCAATTTGAATGACTCTCCGACTGCCAACACGAGTGCTCCCAAGCAACCCCACATTTTCTCTGTTAAAAATTACCCCACAAGGAAGAGTTAGTCTGCCATTTTTGTCTCCTAGACATTGCTCTCGATCTAAGTAGCAGATACTTACGCGGACACAGTGCAGCCACTCAACGTTCCAAACATGCCACTAAGCAGTATGCCAATTCCTTGCCAGCCAATTCCGCGGCTAAGCACATGAGCTGGTGGCGGCGTGGCACTTGCTAGCCTTGATGCAGCTTTGTATCCTCCAGTTGACTGTGTCAATAGAAGAAAGAAATCCCCTTTATAAGTACATCTGTACATGACTCATGAAAAGCAACCATTGAGGCTGTTCTTTCTTATATTATCAAGTTTTACCTCAATGAGTGAGACTATAACAGCAGCCATCATCCCAAAGCAATGACCAGCATCAAAAGTTGGGGCTCCCCATTGCAGTGGATAAGGAATCTTTATCCTGCAAAACATTAGCAGTAAAATATCGGCATAGAAGAGAAGGGAGAAACCAAAGCCTTTTGAGATTGGAATTTCTAAACGCACCATGGAGCAGCAGAAATGAGGTAGGCCCTGTCAGTTCTGCAGTTGCCCTGCGTAAGGTCTGGACGATGCTTGTATGTGCCACTTGCTGTCAAGAGAAGTGCATATGCCCATATTACAGTAACCGATATTAGCAAGGCGAACCGCTCTAGTACTGGCAATTGCCTGAAGTGAAAGTTCTTCAAGTACTGTAAACACAAAACGAGTTATGATCACGGATTAAGATGATTATGGACATGAACTGAAAGGGATTGTGATGCGTGGTTAGATGAAGCACCTGAGAGAAGGTTACGAATAGTATGAGCATGGCACTCCAATTTCCACACAACGCCCAACCTGGCAAATGGATCGAGGCAAAATGTACAAGAAGATTAGGATGGCATTTTCAGCTGAGGGTGATTTGCATCAAAAGTCCAGTATCAAATGTCATATACCACAGGGAAGCCTCTGTCAAATAGTCCAAAACCCAGTAAAGAAATGACTGGAACCATCCCAAGTGGGCTGAAGAACCTGCAATCAATAAAATGAATTCCACAGGTTCATCAATCATCATCAGATTTTGTGAAAGAGACAGGCTTCATCTGTCTGAGTGAGGTTGATCAGTATTACCTGGAACAAATGGCCCACAATTGACTGTATCCAAGAATTATCTGAATGCTAGATGATACTATTAAAGCACCTTGTACAGCTCTCATGGTGCTCAAAAACCTCTATACACAGTAACCAAAAAGGCACTAATTAGAAAACAAACAAAATAATTCATTGTCAAACTTTAATAATTCAAATTGTGACGGACTAACTACATCTGCAATTGGGAAAACAGAAGCCTTTTGACTCAGACTAACATAGATGTTTGTCCCGTAAACAACTGGGGATGTCACGTCAAGCAGGCAATTCAATGCAGAATTCAGAGAGAACTGTGCAAAAGACCAGGACTTTACTAACCAAATGATCGTCCTCTATTCTGGTCAAAGCAGGGTCGTGAATTATTGACATGATTGGGACCATAAATGCGTAGGAGCCCCCAATCACGGTGGGGAGACGCGTCCCAAACAGTGTCTGAATAAGGGTATTGATCCCTTGTACGAACAGTAGAGTCTGTACCACTCTGACTTTATCCCCCTGTCACCATCATCAAGATTATGCTCAACACAAACAAAACAAAAGGGGAGTTTTTGTTCTTTTCTTTGGCTCCAAGATGGATAGAATTGTTTAATGAACTACTTACATGGTCACCGCCCATCAAAGGGACAAGGAAGGTTGGAATCATAACGGCTGTCCCTAAAGCCAAAATGTAATGCTGGAAACCCAAAGCAATTGACTCCCCTGCTTTCACCTGAACAATGGGAAAAGGAGTTCAGAATCACAGAAGAAATAATAGGGGGGCATTGATGGAAGAAGAAGAAGAGCAACTCAATAGGCATTGTTACCCCAAGAAGGATTGGAATCAATACAGTACTCCAAACCCTGGAGCTGATCCATTGCCGGGTGACTTATCTCTTCAGGCTTTGGATCAGCCATTTTTTGCTGCCTCAACTAAACCCTGCTCTGTAACAACCACAAAAAGCTCGCAACTTTCGGTGCCAAAGACTAACGGGTAGCGATCAAATGAATCAAAGAAGAGACTGACAGAGAGAAAACAACGGATCCCTTCTCAACTACGGAGCAAAGCAAGATGATTGACTCCGGAGGAAGAAGAAAGGAGAAAACAATACGAGATAGAAAACCATAGAAAATGGGGGGTTTTCCGGCGGAGGGAGTAGAGAGGTAGAAAGGGACAGTCGAGGAACTAAAGAGAGAGACTGAGGCAGTAGAAGCCAGTCTAAAGAAGTAGCCGCTTCACTTCACTTCACTTGCCGCCCACTTTAAAAAGCTTGTGGCTTTCTAGTGAGAGAGTGACGAGAGAGAGACAGTGATTCTGTTTGATGGATGTTTTTATTAATTTCGATTTAGATTTTTACGGGGGAAAATAGATAACTGTTGGCGATTTAGCTTTTTGATGTGCCGAGAGGGAGAGAATAGAAAGGTGCCGTTAACTTTTTCTGTAATGCCAAAACTGCCCTCCAAGCAAACCTCTCTCCCTCTCCCAAAGGCTTTTTCTGATATGTTACCGTTGCCTTTTGCTACAGTTCATGAGTTGCCACTTGCCCAACTCACTCACTTTACCTCCTAAGTGCATCTCTCTTTGGGTTTCCCCTTTCCCTAATATATAATTGTTTTCGTCCCGAGAGGTCACATAGGTTAGCGGTGAAATTCTTAGTCTAGCGGTGAATTCCATAGTGGGTGCTACTTTCAAGAAGTGGTAGATCTTGTATTTGACCCCATCAAGATCCCCTATGGTGTTTCTGGAGGCATTTAATGAAAATCTTCGTGAGCTCAAAGAACTCAAGTAGGTGAACCTCCAAATTTGATCTCGCTCTACCGCTACCAAGTTAACTGACGTGCTTAAACAAATAACGTCATATTACGGTTATTAATTATTGGTTGGTTATTGTAAATTAGATAATTAATAACCAAGTGTCCTAGTCCTTGTTGAAGCCGAGTCTCATCCTAGTCGGCTTAGGGTTTCTTGTCCAAGTCATCTATATATACTTAGCTGCTACTTAATGTCGCAACAAGTAAGTCAGTTCTTCATCAGAGAATAAAATTGTCAGCCGAGAGCTCGTTCGAGCTCTCCGTGGATTAGTCATGTTCACGTCGAACAGGGATACCACGTAAATCGTCGTCTCCGATTTAATTTTCCGCGTTATCATTTTCTACATGGTATCAGAGCTGAGCTCGACAAGCGTTAGGGTTTGAGTTCATCGTTCGTCTCTTGATTGTTCAAGTTACTTGGTTAGAGCTACGTCATCATGGGTGACGGGTCAAGCGCCGCCAAGGAAGGAAAGGATGCATTGCTGTCTGTTGAAGCAACTGGTCCAACTTCTCCGTTGTTTCTCCATCCCTCTAACACGCCGAGTCAGGTATTCGTCGCTGATCTCCTCACCGACATGAACTACGACGAATGGTGAGCGGAGATGTCGAATGCCTTGCTTGCAAAGAACAAGCTAGGTTTTGTTCTTGGAACCGTTCCACGACCTGCATCTAGGAACCTCTCAGCGCATGGACTAGATGCAACGCGATGGTGGTGGGATGGTTACGTCAAGCTATGTCTCGGGAGATTCGTAGCAGTCTTAGTTCCAGCTTCACGTCGAAGCAGATCTGGGATGAATTGCAAGAGAGATTCAGCACTAGTTTGTTGCCCCGCAGGTACAAAATTCTGCGCCAACTCACAGCCTTGCGTCAGGTTTGCTTGTCAGTCTCCATGTTTTATGCAAAGCTCAAACGACTGTGGGACGATTGGGAACTGCACGTGCAACATTGAGCAGCGCACCCGCGAATCTCATGAAGCCATGAAGCTATTGGATTTTCTTGTCGGTTTGGATGAGAGTTACTCTACAGTTCGTACGCACCTTCTTTCCATCAAGCTAGCACCTAGCCTCGGTGAGGCATATCACGCTGTGGCCAACGAGGAGTAGCAAAGGACCATTACCAACGAGCAGCGTCCTCGTGTTGACACAACTGCATATCAAGGCCAGGGGGAGCGTGCTTCTTCGGACGAACGAACACCGGATGGGCGTCCTAAGTGACTTCATTGCGGAAAAATTGGGCATTTTCATGATACTTGTTATGATATCATAGGCTGGCCAGCTAAAAGTGGTGAAAAAGGTGACAAGCAGCAGCGCCGTCGCAATCCATCACGGCAGCCTCGTTCAGACCGCACGCAGCAGCCGTTGAGAGTTCCGATTTGTCCGTACCTAGGCTCACTGCTGAGCAGATTGCTCAACTCAAGGCATTTTTGAACATGGATATCACCAACAGTACGACATCGTCCTCGTCCCAGCCCAAGGCCAACATGTCAGGTACGATTTCTTCTAATTTTTCAAATAAGTGGGTTATTGATTCAGGCTGTAATGAGCATATCGCTAAAGATACCTCGTTATTGCATGGTGAGTTGGAGACCAACTCCGGTCTACAGGTACGAATACCCAATGGGGCGGGTATTCCTGTTCGTGGTATTGGATTTTCTAAGTTGGCGAATGGGCTGGAGCTTCGTCGAGTCTTACATGTTCCCGATTTTCAATGCAATCTCTTATCAGTTAGTCGTCTAACAGCAGATCATGCAGTGGCTGTGATTTTTCTCAATAATTTCTGTGTGATTCAGGACTTAAGCTCCAGAGAGATGATTGGGTTGGGTAAACATGTTGATGGTCTCTACTACCTGCAATGTTTAATGAAGGTCATTCGGTGGCATTCGTAGCTCGGCAGGCAGTTAGGGATTCAGAGCTCTGGCATTCACGACTTGGACATTCGTCGGCAACAAAGTTGTCTGCTCTGCAGTCTTATATTTCTAGTACTTTAGTCGCAGATAAGAACCCATGCTTGTCTTGTTTGCGAGCTAAACAGACTCGGTTGCCTTTTGTTTCTAGTTCGATTAAGACACATGCTTGCTTTGATCTCATTCACATTGACATATGGGGTGGCTATGAGTTGGCCTCGTTTTCTGGTGCACACTATTTTCTTACAATTGTGGATGATTTTAGCAGAACTGTGTGGGTTTATCTCTTGAAGGCAAATTCGGAAGTATCTCGATATCTCTTGCTCTTTTGTAATCAGGTGCGCACACAACATAACAGTCAAGTTCGTCGCATTCAAAGCGACAATGGTGGAGAGTTCAGTGTGCCCGATGGCTCCTGTCCGAACACTCCACAGCAAAATGGAGTTGTTGAACTCAAGCATCGCCATATGCTCGATACTGCACGAGCACTTCGGTTTCATGCAGGTTTGCCCATTCAGTTCCGGGGAGAATGTATTCTCACCGCGGCATACCTCATTAATCGAATGCCACTTGATCCACTTCAGGGTCGTACTCCTCACGAAGTTCTTCTTGGCCATCCGGCCGAATACAGCCATTTGAGAAATTTCGCCTGCCTGGTGTTTGTCAAAAACACCCGTGGTCATCTGACCAAGTTTGCTCCGCGAGGAAAGCCTGGTATTTTTGTTGGTTATCCGGCAAGTCAACGTGGGTATCGTATCTTTGATATCCTTAGTCGCACTATCTACACGTCCCGAGACGTGTTGTTCTTGGAAGACAACTTCCCGTTCCGTCATCTCTCATCACCCTCGACATCACCATTACCCGCCATGCGTGACTCGTTTTGCTTAAATAATGATGATGATGATGAGCCTACTGATGATTCCATGTTTGACATGGTGCAAGCTGTCGCAAATTCCCTTGACCCCCCTCCTAGTCCCGATGATATGAAATTGTCATCACCATCATCCCCTTCGCCTGAAACACCTCCATAGGCGGTTTCGCCACAATCTACTCCAACCAGCTCACCTTCGGATACTGCTACTTGCACTGCTTCTTCGTCGTCACGGGGGACAGTTCCCAACTCCCCTGTCATTGACATCTCCTTCGAGGATTCCCTTGTCACAGATGATCCCCGTGCCATTGACACATCCCTTGAGCCCTCGGAGCCGTCTTCGCCACCTCGGCGCAGCACGCGGGTCAATCGGCGTCCAGTTCACCTTAAAGACTATGACGTTGACCTTCCTGATAGTTCGGCCAATAATACTAAAGCTCTTTATCCACATAGCAACTATGTGCGATATGATCGATTGTCACCGAACATAGAGCCTTTGTTGCCAACGTTTCAGAAACTTTTGAGCCCAAGTATTTTTGGCAAGCTGTCCAATATGAGCACTGGCGTGTTTCCATGCAAGAAGATATCAATGCTCTCGAGGCTAATGGTACATGGTCACTGGAGGACCTACCACCAAGCAAACGCGCCATTGCGTTTAAGTGGGTTTATAAAATCAAGTATAAACCCGATGGTACAGTTGATCGTTACAAAGCACGCCTGGTTGCCAAGGGTTTCACTCAAATTGAAGGTATTGACTTTCATGATACCTTTGCCCCGATCGCCAAGCTGGTTACTGTCCGCTATCTCATTGCTCTCGCTGTCAGTCAAAATTGGTTTCTCTACAAGTTAGATGTCAACAACGCCTTTCTTCACGGTGATCTAAGTGAAGAGGTGTATATGAAGGTCCCTCAAGGGTTCGCTCGTCCAGGGGATTCTCGGGTATGTCGCCTTCATAAGTCTATCTACGATTTGCGTCAGGCATCTCGGAATTGGTATCACAAGTTCTCCCGAGCTCTCCTTGATTTTCACTTTGTCCAGAGCCGCGCGGATCACTCTCTTTTCATCCATCGCTCTGGCGCTCGTTTCGTTGCCGCATTGATCTATGTTGATGATGTTATCCTCGCTGTGAACGATTCAGACTTCATCCAGGCTGTCAAGAACTACCTCCATGAGAAGTTCACTATCAAAGATTTAGGTACCACGAAGTACTTTTTGGGCATCGAGGTGGCTAGATCGCACAAAGGGATCGTTCTCAATCAACGGAAGTATGTTCTTGATATCCTAGCTGACTATGGTCTTGAGGCAACTCGTTCGTGTGCCACACCCATCGAACAAAATCATCAACTGGGACGGTTACCTTCTGCGCTAGCCAAAGACCCCTCTAGCTATCGTCGATTGGTTGGTCGTCTTCTTTATCTTACAGTCACTCGACCTGATATCCAGTATGCAGTCAACATACTTAGCCAGGCTGTCCATGCGCCTACACAGGCGCACGTCGATGCAGCTGTTCGCGTCCTGCGCTTCCTCAAGCAGTCTCCTGGTCGTGGTCTATATTTTCCGGCTTATACTCCCTTAGTTCTTCATGCTTATTGTGATGCAGATTGGGGAGGGTGCCCCACTACTCGTCGTTCGACTACATGTTTCTTTATTCAACTCGGCGGTGCCCCCATCTCCTGGTGTACCAAGAAGCAGTCTGTTGTTGCCCGGTCTTCAGCTGAGGCAGAGTATAGAGCCATGGCCATCACTATCAGTGAAATAATCTGGCTCCGATGGTTGTTCACAAAACTCGGCGCACCGATGACCAAAGCTACTCCTCTCTATTGTGACAAACAAGCAGCCCTGCATATATTTGCCAATCCTGTCTTCCATGAGCGTACCAAGCATGTGGAAATGGATTGCTACTTTGTTCGTGAACATGTTCTCACTGTCGACATTGCTCCTTGCAAGATTGACACACATGATCAGCCCGCTGATTTGTTCACCAAAGGCT